ATCGCCTAGGTGTGAGAATTTTCACATGGTTCACTTGCAAATGAAGTAAAGGGCAGGAAATTCCTTTTGAAGCGCCTTTGTTCTCAAAGTTATTCTTTTACAGCATCAGTGCAATAAAACCACAGGAGTGCAAGAGGGTGTGAATTTTCACACACTAGTAAAGGTAAAGTTATCTTGCCAATGAGGTGTTGAAATTGTGTGTTGTTGTTTGTGCAATGACTGGATTCAAATTTACCAAGCTAAAACAGAAAATGTCACACAAGGGAGGGTGGGGTGAAGGGGAGTTAGCTTGGTATAGTTTATGAGGAAGATAGAGTGAAGAAGACAAACTGGGATCAGTTTTGTCTACAAGCCCTATAGCTAGAAGGGGGATTATGGGAGCTATAGTCCAAAAATTTTCCAAGCTCTACCCTGCTCTCTTCAGTATATCCTATAATGCACTGAACCCAATGAAGTTATAGAGTCCAGCTATTGTTGGACTACAAGTTCCAGCAACCCCTAGCTGGTGTAGCCAATACTGAGAAATGCTGGGAGTTGCAGTCCAACAACATCCGGATCTTGGAAGCTATGCAGGGTCAATCAGCCCCGGTTAGTACTTGCACGGGAGACTGCCAGAGAATACTAGGTGCTGTAGGCTAGCTTTCAGAGGAAAGAACTGGCAAAATCAACTTTGAAGATTCCTCTCCTATGAAAGCCCTAGGAAATTCACAGGCTCATCATAAGTTGATGAGCTTCTTGAAGGTGCATGAACTGGATGGCCAGAGTTGGAAGGGACCCCCCAGGGCCATCCAGTCCAGCTCCCTTCTGCCATGCAGGAATACTGTACATAGAATCCTAGAGTTGGAATTCAAACCCTGATTTCATATAATCTTAAATCAGCACTCAAACCACTACACCACAGTGGCTCAGTTGGCTTTTAATTATTGTAAAAGAGAATTACTTACAAGTAACTTGTCATTTGTATTAGTTATTTCCAGCCCCTAATAAATATTCAGTTTGCTCTGCCTCAATACTTTAGCCTTTTTCACTCTATTTGCTGAAACAAGAGGACTCATGTTAATTAAAAATCTTACTGTTGTATTTAAGACTACTATTTTAAAAAAAATCTGTTCTTTGAAGGAAGAAGGCTCTCCATCAAAGCTTTGAAAAAGCCACTGTAAAAAATGAGTGCATTCTTTGTACTGAATATATAAGCTCCACTTAAACCTGTAATTTTTCCCTCTCCTGGAAGATCAAATTAAGTTCTTCAAGATACAAAGTCTAATTAAGTGTTTTTCTGTGTTTCTCCCCACCCCCACATGCAAACGGCAAATTCCTGCATAAAAAAACAAGTTATATCACCCTGCCAAATTATTTTTTTTAAAGTTAGAACATGCCTGTCATTCCAAACAAATTAGATATTAAAAGGGTGGGTTTCAACGCATCTCTGAAAAGTAATAAAACAAGGCACTGCACAGTCTAATGAGGAGGCAACAATTTCTTGTCTCATATTTGTCCAGGGAAGAAAGCATCACTTGTGTCTGTAAATTATAGCTCAAGAAGGGAGAAGCTCTAAAATAAATGGAGAGCTACATGAGAAAAGAACAAAACTGATGGATGAGTCAGTATTTGATGAGTGACTCGGATATATGTATGTAAAATAAATTGCCACGCCAAGAAGACATTCTGGTTGAAGAATGTGGCATGCATCTACCCTGCACCATTATAGTAGTTTGATACCACTTTAACTGTCATGGCTACATCCTATGGAATCCTGGGATTTGACATTTTGTAAGGGAATCAAAATACTGTTTGCTAGAGAGAGTTCTAGAACTATCATTCAGGAGAATGAAATACAGGTTGAATAGGCCTTATTCAGTGTTCCAAGACATTCCAAAGTCCAACATTGTCCATGCAGGTGGCTGAGACAGTGACACCTTTGAGTTCTGATGGTTCAGTGTACACAAACTTTGTTTCATGCATAAAATTATTAAAAATATTATTATAAAATATTTCAGGTCATGTTGTTAAGGTATATTTGTTCTTGTTGTTGTGTGCCTTCAACTCGTTTCCAACTTACGGCAACCCTAAGATGAACGTATCTTGGGGTTTTCTTGGCAAGATTTGTCCAGAGAAGGTTTGCCATTGCCTTCCTCTGATGTTAAGAGTATATGACTTGCCCAAGGTCACCCAATGGGTTTGATAGCCAAGCTGGGAATCCAAACCCTGATCTCCAGGGTTGTAATCCAACACTCAAACCACTACACCATGCTGGCTCTCACATATAAGGTGTATACAAAGCATAAATAAATTTCATGTTTAAACTAGAAATGTCCATCTACAAGATATCTCATTATGTATATGCAAAAATACAAACTACAAAACACTTCTTTTTGTTGTTGCTAACTGCCTTCGGGTCAACTTCGACTCATGGCAACTCCATGAACAAGACAGCTCCATGACACCCTATCCTCAACTGCTCTGCTCAGGTCTTACAGTCTCAGGGCCATGGCCTTCCTTCATTGAAACTATCCATCTGGCATGTGGTCTTCTTCTCTTTCTACTACCTTCTACTTTTCCTAGCATTATTGTCTTTTCTAATGAGTCATGCCTTCTCATGGTGTGGCCAAAGTACAACAGCCTCAATTTAGTCATTTTGGCTTCCAGGGAAAATTGAGGCTTGGCTTCCAGGGAGAGTTTCACGCACAAAAATTGAATAATTTTTGTGCACAAAACAAACTTTGTGTGCATTGAACCATTCTAGGTGTCACAATGTGGTAAATTCTGTCAAACAATTGTTGTGGTTGGTATAATGTGTAGTATGTTTATGGTTTGCCATATCTAATAGAGGAATCTAGTTGTTATATAATTGTTATACATTTATTAGGAAATGATGAGTGTAATGGGAGGCACAGTACTTGGGGGGTAGCTCAGAAGCATGTTGGTGGTGTGATTCAGGAAAGTAGAGATGTGTGGAGGAGTGAATTTCTTAAGAGTATGATGGTAGGAACAGTATGCAGAGATGAGAACCGGCTGGGACTGGGACTGTGACTGTGCGATTAAGGGGGGCATGGAAGAAAGTACTAGCATGTTTTAATTAGTAAGTGAATTAAGTTGAAGCCTGCAAAAAAGTGTCATTGTTATTGACAATGTTAATTTTTTGCCAGTGTTGGGACACAAGGTCACTTCTGCCTGCAAATGTCTTCTTGTTATCATCCAAACTTTCTCTGAAATAAAGTTTTAGTGTTTGCAACACAGACGACTTGTTCACTGAACTCCTGGGGGAAATAGCAGTTCTTGACACTATGAAGACTAGTGCATTGGCTTTAAAGCACCTTATCCCCGACAGAATAAAAGAGCATTTAATTTTCAAAATGGGTGTTATTGCATTCAGCCAGGCAAATGCAACCCATATACAGTCCGCAGCCAGCCGGGCTTCCCATTTTTGAAAAGCTGCAGGATAAGTCTGGCTGGCATCCAGGCTCTATATGGGTTGCATTCACCTGCTCACGGCTGAATGCGATAACACCCATTTTGAAAATTAAATGTGCTAATCTCCTATGACCCATTTGTTTGTCTTTTTACCTGTCCATAGCATCCTCAGCGCTCTTCTCCAGCACCACATTTTACATGAGTTCATTTTCTTTCTGTTAGCTTTCTTCACTGTTTAGTTCTCACATCTGTACATTGTGATAGGAAATACTATGGCTTTGATGACCCTAAGCTTAGTGTTCAGATATATATCTTTCCAGTTCACAAGCTTGTCAAGTTCTTTCATAGCTACCCTTCCCAATTCTAGTTTTCTTCTGATTTCTTAACTATATTCTCCATTCTGATCAATGATTGATCATGGTATGGGAAATCTTTAACTGTTTCAATTTCCTTGTCATCTAGCTCAAATTTATGTAAATCTCTGTGTTCGTTATTTTTGTTTTCTTAATGTTAAACATTAAGCCTACCTTTGCACTTTTGTCTTTTACCTTCCTTAGCAGTCCCAAGCATTTCAGACACAGGAGACTCAAGCTGTAGAGCAGGAGTTCCCAACCTTTTCTATGCTCCATGCTCCTAGGAAATGTTTGATGTCCCCACCTCCTACAAAGTAATTTCACATTTGAAGATGAAGAACTCTCATTTCTAATTCTTGAACCACAAATTGAACCCCATACAATTCTGTGGGTGAACAAATTTAACTTTAAAAAGCCAAGCTTTTAACTCAATGCATAAAATGCAAATCTAAGCTGAGCAATTAGACTCTAATTCCTTTCAGGAAAAAAATGGTAAAATGTAAAATCAATGCCAATTGTGTACATAAAATTCAATGACTTCTTTGCTCCTCCTTCTCATTCATGGTTTTGTCAAAAAGTGAAACTTTCTGACAGCAATCCACAGGTCTGCCTGTGACTTCAGGCAATTCCTAGATATTGTCTTGATTGACAAAAGAAGACTGAATCCAGATTAATATAAGTATCTTTGTCGCACCCCATGAAATTCCATCTCGCAACCCCTGGAGGCTGCAGACACCCAAAGTTGGGAACCCCTGCTATAGAGATTTATTTTGTTGTTGTTGTGTTCCATCCAGTCATTTCTGACTTCTACAGACCCTAAGGTGAACATATCATGGGGCTGTTGTTTTGTGTATATTTTTTGGCCAAGTTTTGTTCAGAATGGGGTTGCCATTGCCTTCCTTTGAGGCTGAAATAGTGTGACTAGCGCAAGATCACCCAGTGGGTTTCTATATTCAAGCAAAGATTTGAACCCCGATCTCCCAGAATCCTGCTCCAACACTCAAATCACTACACCATGCTGGCTCATAGAGCTGTAAAGTAGGGGGAATTCATACCTCATCAATCTACAAATCCCAGAATTCCATAGGATGTGCATGTGCATTGTATCCCTTCAAGTTGTTTCTGACATATGGCAACTCTATCATAGGGTTTTCTTGGCAAGATTTGTTCAGAGGAGGTTTGTCATTGCCTTCCCCTGAGACTGAGAGCATATGACATGCCCCAAGTGGGTGGGCATAGCTGAGCTGGGAATCGAACCCTGGTCTCTAGAGTTGTAGTCCAATGCTCAAACCACTATGCCACACTGGCTCCCATAGGATGTAGCCATGATGATTAAAGTGGTTAGCAAATTGTTATAATTATTCTACATGGATATACATACCCCCATTGTGGTTGTTGCCTGAGCTATGTCTAAGATTTTGGGTGTAAATTGGATCATATCTGCTCCTCACTAATTCCATTTTAATGCAGCAAAGTCAGCAAGGAAATTAATTTAATTTATTTTTTTTTACATTTTTCAGAAAGATGAACAGTGCTTTTGTTCTTGATTTTAACCCCTCTCCTTTCTTGTAGCATGTCACATCTTGATTCTCCTCAGCTTTATCCTGGACTTTAAAAAAATACCCGGAAACAAAAACATGGACGGTTTCTCTTGCCAACTTTGCATTTGCTCTTTTTTATTATTTGTTGTTGTTGTTTTTCTCGGCAGATGCTTCATAATTCCTTGTAGCAACTGACAAATTACTTATCATCTCTCTGAGGGATAGATGTGTACGATCACACCTTCAAAAGTGATGATGAAATGACAAGTTGACAAACAGCCAACAGCCAAAAGAAGAAGCCTCAGCTCAAGAAGCAACCAACGCTAAAGGCCAAAAGATCAAAATATTAGTTACTGAACAGCTTCCATTTTGCCTTAGGGCCTCTTTGGAAATTTATTTTATTGCACAAGGAAATCAAAGTTGTAGTACTGAGATGGTACAGTGGGACATCCAAACATCAACTTCATTCAAACTCACTCCTGAAGTTTCTGCCTGAAGTGAAATTTGAAAAGAAGTAGTCATTTGAGAGAATGGCAACATAAACTGTATGAGGTAATGGAACTAGATAAACATACCTGTGCTCTAAGAGACCAAACAAGAAATAAATATGAAAAAGACTGGTCATCTGTTACTAAATACTTATCAGATATATGGAAATAATAAGGAATTGTGTGATAGTAACTGTTAAAAATGTATTGGAGGCACTTATGAACATATTGTGGTAATAATGCCAATTTAGGTAAAGAAGATAAAGAGATTTAGTACATATGATAAAGATGTGTTTAGAGAAACTATGTATAGAATCAATGTTAAATCTAACAGGAATAGTCACTATGAATTTGGAAATATAGTAACAAAGCAAATGTAAGAGAGGATAATGAAAGTCAAATATGTAAAGGAAAGACATTCATGATAAAGGAAGGGAAGAGTTTTTTAATGTTAGCTTGTCTAAATGTAATGTTTGTCTGTTTTTCTTTTTTGTTGTTTTTGATATGGATGTTTTTTAATAATAATAATTAAAAAATAAATAAAAAAGAAAAGAAGTAGTCATTTCTCCTTCTGCTGAAATACATGAGAAATGTCACAAGAACTTAAAAGAAGTTTGATAAGGCTAACAAAATTTCTCAGTTGGGAAGATTGTTGGGAAATATAAGAGACAGAGATCTCTTGAACCGACTAATGAATTAGCAAAGCAGAAACTGAACAAAAACCAGTCCCACACCTGCAAAGGCTTTTTAAAGAACAAAACTCTTTAAGGTTCATGAATGGAGTCTGATAGTAGATTGAAGGAAAGGATCAAAGGGGGAAATGAAGGAGGAAAGTTAAAAAGTGGCCATAACCCCTAAATGAGGTAGAACCATGTTGAAGAAAACAGTTTGCTTAGCCTGGAGTATTCTGGCCTAAAGCTGTCACAATGGCCCCCCACATTACTTGGGCAATCCAGAGCAACATTGGATGGCTATATATATGTACATCCTGCTGTGCCACCCACCACTCTGAATCTCTCCCTCTGAGACCAAAAACAAGGCACCTAGTATTGATCGCATGGCTAGCACCTTGTTTTGAGCTCAGAAGGAGTGACTTGCAGTGGCAGGCAGCACTGCAGGACATGTGTGCAACCAACCAGCCATCATTGCTCCAGAAGGCTCTGGGTTTTCTGGGAAGATCTGGAGCAAAAGATTAGTTTATTTAATTTGGCTTAAGGGTGATATACTGCAGGTTCCGTGCTGAACTCACCGTACGTCATCTGGATAGTTGGCACCAGAACTGGAGATTGGGCTCTGTGTTGTCTGGATTGGTGGCTGTGAGAATGTGTTATTTGGCCTGTGAGGACATAGCCTTAGACTCAGAAAATGTTGAAGCTCTTGGTAATTTCAGCTAAGTTAAAAAAGGACAATACATTCTGAGGCATGTTCTAAGACATTTTGACATGTTCTGCATATATAATAAGAACTAGACTAATGAAATAAGATAAAAGGAACAAGTGTGGTGTACATACTTGGGAAACAGTGCTTGCTTTTGGTGAGTTTGTCTGCATTCATCATCTTTTATTGCTCAGTTGCTGCCACTGCATGTTTTTGTAAGGATTCTACATAAACTGGTTTAATTACTTGTTCATTCTGGCAACCTGAGCCACTAAAGCCTTTCTGCACTGGCCAACAGATCTGTTCAGATCCTGCAGACTCAGTGTCATGTCCTCCTTAATTGTATCTATCCATCCGGTATGAGTTATTCTTCTCTTTCTGCTGCCCTCCAACTTTCCAAGGATCATCATCTTTTCTAGTGAGTCTTGCCTTCTCATGATGTGCTTATCATACAAGCATTTAAATCCACTATCAAAGCTAGAGAATAGCAACTTTGGCAATACTTATTGCATGACGTCGTAGCAGTTTCATCACTCATTTGCTGTTAGACCTTCTCATTTCATTAACAGGAAACACCCATCAGTATGTTTCCCAAAAAAACACTGTAGCATTTCTCCTCAAGTGCTGTAACTTCAAGTTACTTTAACTTCCTCAAGTGCTGTGATTGCGACAAGACTGAGGTGGGACAGAGCCTCATGTGATAAGGTCCTAAGAGGGGCTGCAAACCCCTAACCTCTATTTGTAAGCCATTCTAGGAACATTTTTTGGCAAAAGGGCTGGACATAAAGGCAATAGGTGATTGACTGATTGACATACAAATAGATATTTTGAAGTGGATTAACCAATCTTAGGAGTTTATCACACTAGGGAAATCCCGTGAGAAAACGGGGCTTTAAATTAGAAAAAACCGCAAAAACGGTCATGATTTCACACGACGTCGCTGTTAAATTGATGTCAAAAGGAGGTTAATCCGAACGAAAACCCCTCATTTACGCTTCTTTTTACTTTCGGAAAAACTCGAAAGTAAAAATGAGGGGTTTCGTTCAGATTAACCTCCTTTTAACAGCGCTTTCACATTTCACACAGGGCAGAACGGGATAAATCCCGTTCATTAAAAGCTTCCGCTTTTGCATTGTTTTTTTTTTTCACTTTAAAGAGCAATTTTACACAGGGCTCCCCGTGTGATAAACTCCTTAGACTGAGGAATCCTTCTCTACACTTGGCTATAAGTAAATTCCAAGGCTGAGAAGTGATAAAACTTGGCCTCCTCCAGTTTTTGCAAACTGGATTTTGTCTTTTAAATTCTTAATGCAGCAGTTTAAAGAGTCATTGTGGTTCTTTAGCTCCCCTGAACCAATAGTTCTGTCATCATTCCTCAGTCTGAAGAGACAACTGATTGCAAAAGCTATTCTTAGCTCATCCCTGCACCCTGTTATTAGAGTAGGAGGGAAACATCCCCCATCTTCAAGGAACTGACATTTTCTTGGGTTTGGTGCTTAATAGAAGAACAGCGAGGGGGTGTGAAAAGGAAAGTATGTGAATGACACATCGGGATGATGTGTCTGCAGGATCTCCCTGCAAGGATTTGATTAGGAATTTGTTGAGGGCTGGGAAAGATGTGTGGCTGAAGATTAGTTGTGAATCTGGCAGAAGATGCTGTGGGAAATAAGGATCTAGGGCTTGCAGGCAATCTTCAGGTTAGAAATATTTAAACACTGTTACATGGTCCTGGGGTTATCATGCTCTGATCCCATTCTCAGTACTATAGGGCTTTTGCAGACTGCCAGAAATAGTGCAAATTGAGGCCACTTTAACTGTCCTGGCTCAGTGCTAGTGAATCATGGGAATTGTATTTTTTTCTGGGACACTGAGCCTTCTCTGCCAGAGAGCTCTGGTGCCACGATAAACTACAGTTTCCATGATTCCTTAGCACTGAGCCAGGACAGTTAAAGTGGCCTCAATTTGCACTATTTCTGGCAGTCTGTAAAGGCCCTATTATGTGACTCTGCTTAAACAGTTTGTGACTTTAATATTGTACTCCATCAGTGCATATAAAGAAGTGAATTGTAATACAGGAAAGTTCAAATTAAAACAAACCAGTGAGTCTTAAAGGTGTCATTAAATTCCTTTCCCTCCCACTTTCCTTTTTATGCCCAACAAAGATATCTGTGGGCTAGGGATGTAAATCTTTGTCAATTTCATTCTCATGGCCAAGGAAAAATAATGTTTCCGTTTTTCTCCTTGCAATTTTTTTCTCCTTGAAAGACATTGAAAACAGCACAAGTTTTGAAAACTATTTACAGTTTGAGATTTATTCCATGCAAAAAAATATTTTTGTGAAGAAAACCCACCTTGAATCCCATTGTGAGAGAAAGGCAGGATATAAATCTTTGAAATAAAATAAAGCAAAATAAAACAGAATTCTTTGCGCAGGAAATTTTTGCTGTAGAAGGGCTGTTTCCTGTACAAGAAACTTGTTTTCTGCAAACAATTTTTATTTTTATCACAAAAAATGCTCTTTCCTCCACATTCTGCATAAAAATCCCCACATGCATGTTTTACACAAAAGAAATCTTGAACTATGAAAATTTTTGCCTTTTTAGGCTTCTCCTGGGCTACATCTGCACTCCAAAAATAATGCAGTTTGACAATTTAGCTGTATTTAACTTTAGTGGCATGCTATGGAATTCTGGGATTTGTAATTTTGTGAGATGTTTGGCACAACAAACTACAAATCCCAGGATCCAATAGCACTAAGTCATGACAGTTAAAGCACTTTCAAACTGCATTATTTCTGGAGGGCAGATTAGACCCTTGTCAGGTGTTGTTTTTTTTATCCCTTTTCAACTATTTTCCAAATATTTTCAAATATTCCTTCCAGCCCTAATCTGAGGACCTTATT